ATCTCAAGAGTTGAGTACAGGTGAGGAGCAGCTTTAAAAGGATATAAGGAACAGGGGCCTAACGGGGACAACACTGGTGAAATGAGCCAAGACCCCCGCCCATCCCCCCACTCCTTGAGAGGAGGAATGACCATGTGCAGTATGGGAAACACAGAAGGAACAGCTCATTTACCTTCTTCTCATTCCCCTGCCAAGTAGAAGGAAGAAGCTATCTCTTTTACAAAGGACCTGAAGCCATCTCAACGCATTCTTTTTCTTTCTTTTAAAGTATAATTGGGGCTGGGCGCTGTGGCTCACGCCTGTAATCCTAGCTCTTTGGAGGCCGAGGCCGGCGGATTGCTCAAGGTCAGGAGTTCAAAACCAGCCTGAGCAAGAGCGAGACCCCGGCTCTACTATAAATAGAAAGAAATTAATTGGCCAACTGATATATATATAAAAAATTAGCCGGGCATGGTGGCGCATGCCTGTAGTCCCAGCTACTTGGGAGGCTGAGGCAGGAGGATTGCTTGAGCCCAGGAGTTGAGGTTGCTGTGAGCTAGGCTGATGCCACGGCACTCACTCTAGCCTGGACAACAAAGTGAGACTCTGTCTCAAAAAAAAAAAAAAAAGTATAATTGGGTGTTTCCACCCTCCTTGCTCTCCAAATGAAATGCTAAGGAAATCTCTCAGCCCACTTGATGCTGTGTCAGCACATCTGTGTTTCAATGAGTGGCTTATGTCTCCTTCCTTGCCCCCAGATCAATTTGTACTTGTATCACTGAACCCCATGTAATTCTGAGATCTGGAATTACAGTAGAGCAAGGAGAAGTTCTTATTATTACATTCAATATCACCAAAATTGCTTTTTTCCCCTTATGTCCCCCACTTACTGAAAAACCCCATGAATTCAGGCTCCCTTTTCTGCTGACCTTTATACTGCCTCCATTGGTTACCAAGCTTGACTTACAGTGGGTTTTTATCCTTTCCTCACTTACCTTTTGCTTTTCCATCCCTGTTAGGTTGTATTTTTGTGCATTTTTATTTTCTAATTTTACTACCTCAGGGACTTGATTCAAACCTGGCAGATGAGGAAAGAGGGAAAAGCTATGCTAAGCTGCAGCTATCGTGGCATTTACTTCTGTTATGAGTCTTGAGCTTTTGCTGTTCTAGACTGCTACAGTTCTCTGCACATGCTGACTGAGGAAGTGATGAAGTGGACAGGGATTTGTGGTGAGCCAAGAGATTTAGGAGGTGTGTGGGCAAGAAGCTGCCTCTTGTCATCTATTAGGAAATCTGACTAACAGAATTACTATGTTTGTGAAAAGTTAAAAAAGATATCCAAAATTCCAAGGGTTAATTCACACTTAGGTTCTCTCTGTTTTCCAGCAAATGGAACTGTGATTGAAACAGTTGGGGAGAATTCTTCAGAAGATTATTCCTGAAAGTATGGATGCACAGTGGACAGCAGGAAAAGGCCGTGGGGCCTGACCACACCCTAAGGTGTCAGAAAAGTCTAGGACCCTTAATTGCATCAGAGACATAATTAGAAAAGAAACTGTTTCTGCTCCATGTCTTGTTTTGGAGATTACTCTATCTGTCCATCAAAAGAAACCTGTAAATATGAAACGAACAAAGGTATTTCCTGGAGAAGAGACCATTTGTTCAACACCAACAAGAGACTCAACATATGGGCACAGCTCCAGTGGTGTCCTTTCTATGGATAAAACCTCGAGTAAATGTTTTATTCTGCCTTTGAAAATGCTTCCAAAAGTAGACCCACACAGGTCAAGACTACAGAGAAGGCTTTGTAGAAATGTGTCACTTATATATACCTGCTACTCACACATTTCCTCTTTTGGAAAAATGAGATACTAGTGATAACAAAGTTAAGACAGACATACTGGCCTGGTGCCAGCAGATGGCTTTTCTATAGACAAACTAGGTTAGCGTGGAAGGTATAGGTTAAAATAAAATATGCTGTTTTATTTATCTTCCCAGTCTGGTTGGCAGCTAGACTTTTTCAGGGTCTCATTTAATGGCCCTATTTTTTTCATTATTATATTTAATGACAGGGCAGGAATTAGTACACAAGGTCTTCTGTTTCTCAGGCTGCCTACAGAAAAAGTCACTATAAATTATCTGCTGTCTACATGGTACAAGGCCCATTGACTCATCTGATACATGTTTTGTTAATTTCTTTAATATTTTTTTATCACAGGGGTAGTGGGATGGCTTGGGCCTTTAACCACAGCTGTTTTAAGACTTCTAATCTCCTTCTAGGTCGACGAATTTTTACATGATAGTAATTTGCATTCCCACATAAGTTGAGTATTATAAAAACATTCCTGGAAAGCTATCTGTGCTACAAAAAATATGCCAGAACTTCACAGAAAAAGCCATTGCTAGAAATGGCTTTCCAATGTCAAATCTGGATAACAAGCTGCCATAACCACTTTTCCTTCCCGTATACTCAGCTCACCTGTATATTATAAACTTTTTGGCATCTTGAAACATCAGTTTCTACTCAGGTACTCATTTTCTTGTTAGTAATTCATCTTTCTGATCTTTTTAAACTACTTTTCCCCCAAAGGGGGGAAAGTTTCACTTAATTTCTAGTCTCTGAATAACTTTCAGGATTTGACTTGTTTCCTCAGTTGCTTCCACCTATACTGTATTCCTGATCATTTCAAATGTCATCTAAACCCAGCTACTCCATACCAAAAGTCTCCATTCCCTGCAAGTCTACCTAATTTTTCATTTACTGTCCTAGTTACTGGCCCTTTCTTCATGTCTTATTTCACTTGCTTTGGGAGCTTAAAAGATTTTACAAGACTTAATTTTTGGTTCCTGCCTTGGAGCCATAGTTGTCCTGCCAAGAAGAGTAGAAAATGGGTTCAACTCCTATTTCATTCCACCAACACCTCCGTGAGCCTCATCATCAGCTGAGAGATGATGCCTTACAACAGGTTGCATAGCACTGGAACTTTCCTAGAGTAATGGCTCTACTGTCAGGGTTTTTCTGGGCTCATTCTTTCACTGACTTAATTATGATCTACACCTAACAGAGCCCCAGTACAACTATTTTGCAGAATGGCTATTACCCTAGAATTATTACTATAGCACATATTGAGACATAGTTGTACGCCCTAGTAGATAGGAACTGACCCCAACAATAAACTTTGATAATAAAGACAATAGGCCATGGTGGTTTTATTTAATTAGCTGTTAGCATTGTGAAAGGTTAACATTTCAAGCTATTATCTACACGTTATTCTCCATCCAGTTTGGTATCAGTATCTTACACCCTTGAATCAAATAATTGTTTGTGGGATGCAGTATAAGTAATGTTGGTGTCTTTGAAGACAAAGGGAAGAGAATGTGTGTGGTCTTACAGGCTTTAACAGGTGAGGCAGGTCTGGCATAAACAGCTCTTTTCCTCAGTCAGTCATGTTCTGGATGCTCTCAGGAATGGTACATTACCAAAATGACATGAAGGAAATCTATCAAGGGATATGAATTTAAAATGAGGGGAAAACATGCTTACAAGTTAATGGATAGAAAAGAGAATTTAGTATCCTGTTTTCATAAATTTCTTTTAAAATGAAAGCATGATGAACTTGTGTCTTTTTGTTATATGCTTTTCGTAAAATTAATCCTGGCCATTTTTTATGTCCATACACTTAAGTAGTAGTCTGCTCTCTATGAATAATATGGACTTTTTCTTTCCTTTTTAAACCATCAGAATTTAATGCTGACCCAATCTGTTGACCACACCCTCCAAGTCTGACCCCTAAGATTGAGCTTTCTGACCCTTACTCTTCTTCCCAGAGTCATTTAGGTATGAGTCAAGGACCTGATAGGACCCAGGCATTTACCTATGGTCAAAAGAGAATAATCATCTAGAAGATAATTTGTGGTATTTGGGAACATCACTTCAGGAAATGGAAAGGAGAAATATTTAAGGAACTTTGTCCTTGGTCGATCACAGCACGGGTGGCAAAGGTGATGAGAATATGCTAGGCTGGCCCTCAGCCTGTCTAGTAAAGTAAGGCAGGCTTTATCAAACCTGGTTTTTTTGTAGTGATAAATCTGTAGCTAAAAGACAGTTACTTAAATTCCTGTAGGAAAAATAAGCTTTTCTCTTAAATCTGAAATTATCTGGTTTCTAAGAGCTTTTTTCCTCATTAAAATAATTATGTTTTCTGAATGATGCTTGGTAATAAGCACTCATGGTTTTCTAACCTAATTATAAGGGCCTGCACTCAAGATCCCCACAGCTGGCAGTGGTGTTAAGAGGTGGAGCCAGCCTTTGGTGGGACAAAGTTCAAATCTCTTTCCAGGGCTCTTTTGAAAACCCTCAGTATTACTTTTTCCACACTCCTGCCCTGCCTTCAGCCCCATCTCCCCACTTTAGAAAATGATTTCTTGAGGAAGACTGAAATGGACAGAGATCTTAGAGCACAAACAGACCTGAAATACGAGGCAAAGGGAGGCCTCTTGTGTTTTGTGGTTCCACCAGGTAGATAGGTGACTCTAGGAATTGAGGCCAGGTCCTATAGGGTGATGAGGAATTTTCCTGTTGGCAGTTTCCTTTGTGCCGTACAGAACCCTACGGCACCTGGCCATTGGGCAGTAGGCACAGCTGAGGCTCCTGCCTCCATCTGTGGAACTGATTTAACACATACTCCCTGGGCAGCACTGAGGTCCAGGGGTATAAGTAGTCTAAAACAAAACCACCATATTAATTTCAATATCAGTTCAAATTCTTCCAAACCCTAAAAATTCTTAAGTATTATTTCTCCTAATACTCTAAATGGCTTGTGCCAAGAACTGAAACTAAGCCATTGATTTTTAAGTCTTAATCTATACATCACAAAAGGAAGAAATGGCATACCTTAACTAGAACCTGCTTTTTAATCTTTCTCACTTAGTATATTCTTTTTGAAAAGTCTCATAAAGCAAAGTTTTCATATGTCATAGAAGGCAGTATTCCTTATGTTTACTCTAATAAACAACAAAAATTTTCTCCCAAAAGGTTTATTTGTCACATGTAAAGTACAAAATCAAATACACAGATCCAGATATGGGAACCATATATACAAATCTATACATCTATTATTTAGACCTACACAAACCCATCTATACATTCTAATTTATCCATCAACACTATTCTTGAGCAAAAACCAAGATATCTCTGAAAAAACAAAGTTGGTTATCAGTAACACTGTCAAATGTAAATTATCTTCACTTTATCACTTGAAAGGGTAGAAACATATCTCAGGAATAGGAATTATCAAGCATAAATCCAATTTGTATAGATTTCTTAAAACATATTCTATAAAAATAATAGATGAACCTGCCAATCAAAGTCTTTGGGCATTATCAAGTCTAAAAAAAAACGAGTTATGGGAAGATATTTTATAAGGTTAATTAATTGCATTCCAAGGGTTTTGTTTGTTTGGTTTTGGTCTTACATGCAAAGAAAGGACTTTATGTTGTGTAATAACGCAGCATTTCCAAGTCATATTTTCTATGGAGTTGTAATGACAAATTTTTCCAGGGGCCTACCTAGAGCTGTTAAAAATTAAACTAGTCATTAAAGGTGGTATCTGATTTTTAACACTGTGTAGGTTATTTCAACCAAAATCCAAGAGCACAGTTCTTCAACAGAAAGGCAGAAATTTTAGACTTTTAGATACAGAATATGTCACTGAACACCTGGATGTCCTGTGATCGTGGGGACAAAGTTATAACAGCTTTCTTTGTTCTAAGATGTCATCTATCTTACATACAGAGCATAGGACACTAAGCCGCAGATGCCTAAACATCTCCACACCAGGCACAGACCTTCATTAGTGCCTGCTCCCATAACTGGGAACACAAACATACAGTGATATGGATCATTATCAAAATCAGATTTATGTCAATGGCTTCACAGTAGCAACACAAAATGTACTTGATGTCACATTTCCATAGGAAAGTTTACATATACACTATACACTTCAGCCTTGAAATGTGGACCCAAAAAATATTCAATTTTCAGTAATCAATCTGGTGAGGGTCCCATACCCTCAAATCCTAATTTAGCACAGCAAAAGCCCCTCCTTGGCTGCCAAGCGCTGGCGGTGGACTTTGTCTTGCTGTAGCTCTTCGTGATTTGGATGCCACAGTTTCATGATGATCCTTTCAATGTTAAGGGCATATACAGTATGTGTAGGAATGACTTCCCTGTGTACCTGGGATTTAAAAAATTAGTAAGTCTCCAATTATACTTTATTATTTTCCTTTTTTTTGAGATAGAGTCTCACTCTGTCACCTGGGCTAGAGTGCCATGGCGTCAGCCTAACTCACAGCAACCTCAAACTCCTGAGCTCAAGTGATTCTCTTGCCATCTCTCCCAGCCTCCCGAGCAGCTGGGATTACAGGTGCAGACCACTACACCCAGCTAATTATTCTATTTTTAGTAGAGATGGGGGTCTCACTCTTGCTCAGGCTGGTCTTGAACTCCTGACCTCAAGTGATTCTCCTGCCTCAGCATCCCAGAGTGCTAGGATTACAGGCATGAGCCACCACGCCCAGCCTCCAATTATACTTTAGTATACTTACTTTCCCCAACATATAAAAGTAGGGTTTATATCAACGAAACACACAACTTATATACTTTAAGTCAGAAGTTAATGAATCCCACGTAAAATAAGAAAACAATAACGAGGTTCTAAAATAGGAATAAGGGAACAAGGGGACTTTTTTCTTTTATCAGGGAGGTATAAGATGGGGAAGGTTAATTAGGAAGGACTCCTGGGCTCAGGATTTCATAAATTAGGCCAGTATTAATGGCTTTAATAACAAACAATAAAAACCGAAAAAGACAAAGCCAAAAAGTAGAAGAAACTCTTATCCCCTAAACCTAGGTAAACTTCAAGGAGCCAGGAATTACCTGCAAAGCTTCAAAAAGGTCGTACATGTTCACGGGAGGCAAAGACGCAGGCAGCGTGTCCCCGGCGCAGGCCAGCAGGAGCGCAGCCTGCTGCTCAGCATCGTCAGGGGGCGGGTGGGAAGCTGGATTCTGACCGGCACAGGGAGCAGAAAAGGCTGGAGGGCTGAAAACAGAAATTTCAGAAGCATTCCCAGCATGGAAACAACAGAACAACTAGAATAGGAGTAGCCTGCTAGAATCTTATTAAGAATATCTTTAAATGAATCAGAAATCCATTCAGTGTACGCTAGTATATACATGAATAGTCCATAATTTTAATTTTTAAAGGCAGCCCATCTATCAGGTTGAAAACAAAATATAATGCAACCACATTAACCCTCCTTCGTCTACACTATTAAAATATTTACTTAGGATACTGAACCAAAATTGTTTCTTGCCCTTAACGAGCTTCCAGTTGAAAAAAAATAATAGGGCTTAACTAAAGGAATATTAAAATAAACAAATAATTTAGACAGGAAAGTGAATGGTACTGGAGACAGTAGGTTCAAAAATAAAGAGCAAGAAAAGAAGATAGAGCACAAAAGAAGCAACAGGCAAAACTGGAAAGTGGGTAAAAGTCACTGAGGTCTTACCAATTTCCCAAAATAGAGCACAGATACAAGCTGAGAAGTCAGGCATGATTTTTACATCTTAATACAATAAGACAGTTGTCCCCAACCTTTCTGCATGCACCAGGGACCAGTATCATTAAAGATAATTTTCTACAGAAGTAGGGAGCAGTGGGGGGGGGGGGAGGGGGAGGAGGAGGAGGGGGGGGGGGGGGGAGCGGTGACAGAGCTCTAGAGCCTGGGGGTTGGGGACCACAGTGGCAGGAGATAACCTACACAATTCCGAGAAACAAAGAGGTAAAACAAAAGAGCGAGGCCATAACTCAGGGAAAGCACAGTGGAACGCTGGCGTGGGACTGCAGCATCAGACAAAAGCAGCCCTGTCGGGGTAACAAGCAGCCCACAGAGAGACAAAACCCTCGCAGGGACTGGTTGGCAGGGGACAGGGGGCTCAGGAGTCCCCCCAGGGTCAGACACTGTTCCCAACATCACCCACTACAAGGAGCCACTTTTTTTGGCTTGTTTTTCTCTAGAGAAAAACGACTTAAAAATGAAAGTAATCCCAAACAGATGTGCCAGAATGAGATTTAGACAATAAAGAACCATATACAGCATCTAAACAGTGAACCCGATTTAAGGTGATGGTCTTCAAACGGGGCCTGTGACCCCTGTAAAGGTCTTCAGAGCCATGAACTGGGCACCAAGACAACCTCCTATGCGTGCTGTCAGTGCTAGCTGCTCTGTCCAGCCCTCTGCTTTCCCTCCGACACTTCTTGCCTTCCTTTCCTGTTATCTCTTCACCACCATCACCCCTGCCGGCCCTCCCAATCACATCTTTCTCTGAACTTGCATCCCCGTTATCTCTTTGCCTCTCCTCTCCCTAACTAACCAGATACACGAAATCCAGCAATCACGGGACATTCAGTCTCTTCAGTAACCAGGAGGAAAATTATATTTGCTTTTCTTTCCCTAAGGCTTAAAATTCAGACTGAAATTTTGGGGGGGGCTTACGGTGGTGAGAAAGGGAGGTCAAAAGGTGAGAAAGACAACACAGGGATGAAGGTAATCTAGGCTGTCTCATAAAGGGGTGACTCAGGACATGAGAGGTGCTAGGCCCTCAATGCAGGACACAGGAATCCCAGAGATGAACCAAGACCACCTCTGTATAACAGGATGCCAAAAGCGACCTGATGACCCAGCACAGGCCACTATCTTGAGCTACAGCTACAAGAGCCACAGGAGGACCTCGAGAAAAATCTACCACTCCTCCTCCTCCCACCATAAAAATCCAGCCTTGACCCAACAATCGGGGGCCATGCTTCTGACTTCGCCACCGGGCAGGTGCTGCCTCTCGGGAGCCATCAGGATGCACTTCCCAAGGGAATTACTCCATTCCACCTCCGAAAGTGAGGGGCAATCACATTAAACCCACAGGCGGCAGCCAAACTCTGGCACTTCACTTTGAATAAAAAGCATACCAAAATAATTCACTATCATGCAAGGACAGGATTTAAGAAATAAAACTGTACTGCTGTCAAAGGTACTTTAACCTGCAGCAATACAATAATCGATTACTTAACAGTGGTCTAATTACATAAGAATAGTGTAACCAGTTAGCAAAGGATAGAACAAAATCACAGGATACCTCACTTACCTTTCTATTAAGTTGTTGTAAGCTACTACACTATTCTTCAGGTAAGGCTGTGGGGTCACATTACTGCCGAAGGCATATTTAAAGTGGCCATCACGCAACCGGTACGCTTTCCTTCTTGACACAACTGACGTCAGTATATCTTTAAGGTGATTCTGTAAAAATAAGAAAAGAAAAATAGCATGATCTTCTCTTTAAAACAAATCATAAAACCTCCATTGACCAAAAAATGTTATTAGCATTTAGATGGAGATGTGGAACAGGCTTAGCATATGCTAGAACCAAACGAATGTTCAAAATGACCCATACCAGGGGAGTAGGAGGGTACAGGAAAGAGGGGGACATGCTTATTTTTACTTAGTTCTCTTTAAGATGGGCTCTCTCTACATGAAATTTATTTTAAAAGTTTTTTACATCTCTAGATTGGTTCCTCTCTCTCAAAAATGATTTCTAGACAGCTTTAAATAAAAGGACAAAGATAAATAATTTTTTACAAAGAGGTAAGTTACCTTGAAAGTTGGTTTAAAATGTGGAAAATTGTTTCAAGATCTGAGGTTATTGGTTATAATAGCCAACCCACCAAAATCTTTGCATTAAAAGAACCTTGGCTCTCTCGAAAGCCAAATAAACTACAGATATACAGGAAATAAACACAAAAAAATCAGGTACTTAATTTCTCTTCACCTTTATGAGAAAGTACATATGCCAAGTACATAAGAAAAGGTTGGGGAACATCTATGAAAACAGAGAGATAGGACTAGCCCCACCCTACCATCATTAACAGGGAGCCAGCATCAGGAAGGATATTGCAATTATACCAATGGGACCGTCTTATATAAAGACATCACTGTACAATTTATAACAGGTTTTCACACAGAATTCATTTAACATTCATAACTTCATGGGACAGCTATTACCTCTGAGGTACAAATGAGGAAATGAGGCCCAGAGAATTGAAAGGAATTAACCAATGACACCCGACTGTGCACTATACACCACAAAGTATATTTTGTTAAATAACTAAATGAATGAAACGAATGGATGAATGAAATAGCATACTGAGACGACAACCCCACTGTACATGCCAAGACTAACGCTCTTTAAATGCTATATCACAGCAAAAAACAAGTGACTTTAATCTTTAGGAGTCTCGATCTCATTTCTTTCCTTAAAAACTATTCCCTTGTTGACAAAGTAAAAACCACATCAAGCAGAAGTTTGTGAGTAACCTTTCTGAAAAGCTTAGTCTATTAACTGAAGACAAGTCATTGGACTGTGATGGGTTTCTACACTTAAAACAATTTCAGTAATGACAATCTCGTGAAATCAGAGTGACATTAGGTCCTTTTCTGGCAATAACTTTAAACAACACGCAAGCTTGTTACATTCAGTCTGTAAAATCGTCTCTGCCAACAGCAAACCCACCTCCACCGCATAGACGACAGCTGACACGGCCTCCTCGGTGACGTTGTCCAGCCCGTGCTCGTAAGCAGTCACTATCATCCTCCCTTCAAGCTGACCCCGAGTGGGGAGCATCATTGTATGGGAACAAAGTTTCAAGTCGTCATCATCTTGGGGATCCTTTGCCACAAATTGCTGGGCTCCCGAGAGGGGATTTTGAGGCTGGAATCTATGCTATGAGTAAGAAAACTTTTCAAAATTATTCGTTACAGTGGCAAGTTAAGACAAAAACAAAAGTAACCCATGTATTAAACTTGAGATCCTACCAATTAACGCCACCAAAACTATACCACAGGGGTAAAAAAAAAAAAAATAGTAACAATGCAAAAATAGTAAAATGCACAAATAATCACAGATTCACACCCACTGCATGGTAATATTGAAGACATGAATTAAGGGGAATAATGGTAGTATGCATAGCAGTTTATTCTATTCAATTAATACCCTAATGATCAAGAATGTATGGCCCTGTGCTAAAAATAACAATTAGAAAGAAGTAGAAGATATAGAACTATACTCAAACAAGTCAGAACATTTTAAGTATAACTGTAATCAGGTTCTGCAAATATAAACATATAATTAATGCTTCAATTAAAAAGCCTAGCTAATCAATATGATGGATCTAATAAATATTCCAAGATAATGCTGTGTGGTGTAACAATTTAGTTACTGTCATTTTCTACTTACAATTCTCAGTACAGAACCTGAAATATAATCACACTACTTAAAATAGTTTTTCTCAATCATAAAATCTTAGCCATCCTCTGGAGGATTCTGATAGCCCACTCATATCCTCTGTCATCACTGGGTGACATGCCCCTGGCAGCTTCTGCATAAGGCCAACATACAAGATTTGCAGTGAAGACGGTTTGTCCCTGTTTGAAGTTTATATTATACAAACATTGTTATTTTTCCATTTTCCAAGGATAAAACTGTTATTTTTTACCAAGCGTGCCTTTTTAAACCAGGCATGCCTCTCTGGAGATATCAATGCCTTCCAGATTGAATATTATGACTGATATAAAACATAGAGCAAAGGTGAAAAGAAATAAATGTTAGTTGATATTAATTGATAAAGCTATTGATACCCAGTCAAACCTACAAAAGGGTTACTTTTGGGAAACTTTTTTCCTAGATAAAAACTGAAAAAACCAATTTACTTAAAATGTTTACAAATTTTATTGCCAAATGCCTTTATGACATCTCCAGGGTCCCTGAATGCCTCAGGGCCCAGCTGGGCATCACCGGGATCCTGCCAAAGGCCTCCAGGCCATCTGAACCCTTGGAAAAGATACCCTCAACCTAAGAAACATTATTCATTCAAAAAATATATTTAAGAGGAGAAAGACCAATGGCAAAGTTTTGAATAATTGAAAAATCATTAGGTACTAATGATAACATATTAATACTCAAGCAATAAAACAAGAAAATATAAAAATGCAGACACCTAGGACTCACAATCTTTGAAACCCTTCTCCCCAAATCACACTCCCTCTGATTTTATCAACTCTACTACTAGTATTTTAATATTCATTTAAAAACTAAAGCTAGTTCCATCACACGAGTACTTCAGTCACTCATTTTCAAGATCTATTGGAGAATAACCTACATCAAATTTCTGACGAACAGAAGAAAGCTTTTTCTTTCCCTTGGGTTTTCCAGGTTTGGCTGCAGAACCCCCTGTCCAGGGCAAAGATCCAGCACCCTCTATGAGACAGAAAAATAATAACCATAAGTGAAAATAATGACTATTGTTAACTCTGAAAGTTTGTTATCATGTTGGGCTTAAAAAGCACAGAATGCTCAAGAAATGGAAATAAATAATAAATGCCTAAATTCAAATCTTCTCTAATTCTCTATACAAATTTAAAAAGTCTCTCAAGTCATATTTTTTTCTAGCTGTAATCAAAATTTTTTTAAGAAGACAAAATGTTTTCATATTTTTAATTAATGTTTATTGGTTGTTTTAGTGGTAGTAGTAGCAGTAGTATAAAAGTAGGACAAAATTTTCTAGGGTAAGATGGTGAACTAGTAAGCACATGTATTTATCTCCTCTCTAAGACCCTACTAACAATGAAAGCAGAGGAAGGTAAATGCCACACATCCACAACAGAGATAAAAAGGGAAATGAGTGGCAGACATGATGAGATCTCAAAAAATTCTTACGATGGACTCCTTTTAGGGTGCTGACTTACAAAACAGACAAATGGAAGCAGTAACGTAGGCTAGGCAAGGAAAGCGGCAAATGAGGCAGAAGCACATCAACCTTCCTGGTAGAAACCCACAAAGAATCTGCATTTAGAGACTAGGAGTGCAGTGGAAACTGTGAGGGATCAGTAAAGCTAAAAACAAGATTAACAAAAGGTCTATATGCTTAAATCAACCACACAAACCCCCCTCCTCACTCCCAGGACTGGGCTCAGTACAAAATAAGGTACAGGGCCCTACATTCAAAATTAAGAATTTCAGGCCGGGCGCGGTGGCTCACGCCTGTAATCCTAGCTCTCTGGGAGGCCGAGGCGGGCGGATTGCTCGAGGTCAGGAGTTCGAAACCAGCCTGAGCAAGAGCGAGACCCCGTCTCTATTATAAATAGAAAGAAATTAATTGGCCAAATAATATATATAGAAAAAATTAGCCGGGCATGGTGGGGCATGCCTGTAGTCCCAGCCACTTGGGAGGCTGAGGTAGAAGGATTGCTTGAGCCCAGGAGTTTGAGGTTGCTGTGAGCTAGGCTGACGCCACGGCACTCACTCTAGCCTAAGCAACAAAGCGAGACTCTGTCTCAAAAAAAAAAAAAAATTAAGAATTTCAAGATGCTGGTAGAGCAGCAAATCAAGTGCAGGGACCTTCTGTGAACTGTAGCTCACACACCCTGAGGGCAGCCCTGCTCACTCCCATGCACAGGGTATTTATAATGGGGGCAGGGGATGGTGGGATGGGAATGAAGGACTCTTCTCTAGTTAAACTGAACAAAATTACTGGGATTTACTACAGTAATTGCTATGAATGCTAGCACCCTAGGGCAAAGCTCTCTGCATAATGGTATTTGGGGGACCCCCAGTTTAATAGCTGGGTTCCTGTCAGCTCATTGTAAAGCAAAGTCTCCAGGTAGTTCTATGCTTCATTCTTATTAATAAATATGAAAAGGACAACAATGAATCACTGGACATCTGATGATATTCTGAAACAGGACAAGAAAGCCCAACCTAAACCGACAAATAGAGGTCCTAGAGAGGAAATGCAAAAGGACCTTGATAAATTTCTAACTGGTAGTCTCATAAAAGTTGGATATGATATATATCCATAAAACAAGAAGAGGATGCTATAAAAATTGCTGAATTAAAGAATATATTAAACAGGAAGGCTAAAAGATTAGAGCTGAAGAAATCTCAAAGAACACAGCAATAAGACAAAGAGACAGAAAATCAGTAAAATCAGAAACAAATTAAGGCAACTATGAGGGGGTATGGAGGTCCCACCAGAAGAATAAAAAACACAAGTAGTTGCCTTTGGGAATAGGTCTAGGAGGGGGGAAAAAGCTTTTTATCATAAAACCCTCTGTGCTATAGATTTTTTAAAAAAGTGAACATATATTGTTTTAAAAAAACCCAAATACAAGTTCATTATAGTATTACACACTTGAACAAAATACCCCTCCCAAATTGATTAAGAATGAAAAGAAAAATCACCCATAATCACAGTAAAACGTTAACTACCATTTTTATATTTTTGGAAAGAAAAGTCTCTAAAATTTTGGGAAAAATAATACTCTAAGTTCCTCAGTTAAAAAACAACTATTCGGGAAGTCAAGTTTCTTTTCTCCATCTTTGGCACACCCTTGATAAGGTCAGCCAATCCTAGATGACTTCCCAAAGAAATTTATTCCTGGTAGAATGGAACTGGATGCTAAATGATGACAAGGAAGCAGGCTTCAGCAGAAGCCTGGCTTCAGCGCCCATGCAGAGGATGCTGCACAGGAACAGGCCTGCAAACAGGAGCTTGCGAGCTGCTGCTGTGTGGCCAAATGCTTTGGGCCAGGAAGCACAGCACAGCAAGGACCACCCTGACACGAGGGAGGGCTTTCCAGCAGCACTTAGATTTCAGTTTGATCCAGCACTTCCACTTACTAGCTGGACAGGGTGTCGTGCAAATTCGTTTTCTCTTCTCTGAAGTTTGTTTCCTTATCTATAAAAAGAGGCCAACATCCACCCTATAGAACTGTTGTGAGGATTAAAGATAATGTGTCTAGCATACTACAGTCAATAAAACGACCCATCCAAAATTATTAAGTATAAATAACTATATTTTGCTTTTAAAAGAAATCATCTCTTTGCTCCTAGTAAATATTATTTTCATCTTGAGGAAATAAGTTTTGGGTGTTTGATGGAGAAATATATTTATATTCTCAAATTCCAAATGGGAAGTTTTTTCACTTATTTTTAAATAACCATTAACAGACATTCAAGAATATCAAAGGTTTTTATTTAATTAAAGTCAACCACCTATACTTACTAATACTTCATATTTGTTTGGCATTTTTTTCCTTGAAAAGCAATTTTTACATGTTCTTTCATCTGCTTTTCCATAATCCTATAGGGCAAATATTACTAAACCTATTCAATAAATGTGAAAGCTAACGATGCCCAAGTAAGTACTTACATATTTGCCAAACTAGTGGCAAAACATAAACTTGAACCTAAGTCTCTTGACTCCTATCAACCAGGGTTTTTATTTCTGACCATTCCACTTATGATTTGAGTATGTGGCACTTTATAATATACCTACCTACAAAGAAAGATCTAATCCTCACAATGTTGGACTGATCAAATTAAATTATACAGGACAAAGTAGATTTATCTTTATGATCTAACTTTGGACATAAAAGTGGTATGGCTAGGCCGGGCGCAGTGGCTCACACCTAGCACTCTGGGAGGCCGAGGTGGGAGGATCATTTGAGCTCAGGAGTTCGAGACCAGCCTGAGCAAGAGCAAAACCCCGTCTCTACTAAAAATAGAAAGAAATTAGCTGGACAACTAAAAATATTCAGAAAAAATTAGCCAGGCATGGTGGTACATGCCTATAGTCCTCGGAGGCTGAGGCAGAAGGATTGCTTGAGCCCAGGAGTTTGAGGTTGCTGTGAGCTAGGCTGACACCACGGCACTCTAGCCCGGGCAAGAGTGAGACTCTGTCTCAAATAAAAAAAAGTGTGGTATGGCTTAAGTCTACTTCTATTTAAATTAAATAGAACGTCTAGAACATTAAAACTCTGGCCCAGTGTGAGAATGTGCATCAACAGGTATGGTGAGAGTTAAGGGGAGCAGCCACTGTGCCCTCCAGCACCAACTTCTATAAACAAGTGCTCGCTGTTTACCACACTTTACATCAATAACAACTTCTCTGAGGGTAGAAGAACTAGGTGTTGGAAATCCTAAGTAAATTTTTATCATTCGGTAGAGGTTACAGAGAGGGATGACACAAAATACCAGCAGTTTCTAGATACAACATGGGCTTTTGACATATGATCATCAGACTCTCCCTAGACTTTAAAAAAAAAAATTAATCTCCAGGAGGAGGTGGCTATCAATCTAAGTTTCTAACAGAGTACAGGACGACTCTTATCATAAGGGAGGTTCTCAATGTATTTGTTTGTTTTTGAGTGACTGATTAAAATAAGATGGTTGAAAGAGGTGATCTGTAACTTAATCTACCACTTAAGCTCCAAAAAGTTAGGGGTAAAGGAGTCAGTGTTTCTATTTATCCCTCTTTAGGTTGTAGTAAAAGGTTTAGTTTCCACCCACCACCCCAACATGAGCCTATTCCTTCCCTACCAATTGTCCTCTACCAATAATCAACCAAATTCACATGCTAAAACTCTACCTTCCAGATGCTTATCTTACTTAAGAATACAAGTGAAAGCCCGGGTTTTCCACATACATTGTGGTTTTCCCTCCACTAATTCATCTCCCCTCTATCTACAGAATATCTTATAGCACCAAAGGCCCTGTCTTCATTTCCCTCACCCTCTTCATCCTGACCTCCCATCCTCTTCCTCGCTTCTTAAGTAATCTAAAATGCAGCAGAGTAGGGAGTAAAGACCTAAAATCAACCTAGGTATAAGAAAATCACCTGCGTTAAAAAGTCTGTAGGCTGAGGCAGGAGGATAGCTTGGAGGTTGCAGTGAACTACAATGACACCACTGTACTCTACCCAGGGCCATAGAGTGAGACTTTGTCTCAATAAAAACAAACAAGGCAACTAAACACCACCCCTCCTCACAAAAAAAATAGAAAATAAAAATAAAGAAACCCAAATCAAAATCAAAATAAATAAATAAATAAAAAGGTCTGTAAAAGAATTCATATCTCACATAATAAAATTCTTCTTCTGAGCAGTTCCAAGAACATTTCATCTCAAACACCAGATGTGCCTGTCAGAGGAAGCTAAAGCCAAATGTGCCATGGGCTTTGCTGGCTGACGTACACTGGAAGTATTTCTATTCCCTTACCTGGTGTAGAAACCAAAATCTGACAACGTGTGAGAATGGCCAGGAGGAAATCGTTGTGAGAATGTACTGAAAAGGAAAGATTGTCACAAGTCAGATACGAAATATTTTCAATATGAAGAAACCACTTTAGCCTGTAAGAATTTTAGATGTCTCCTACTCTGTCATTCTTTATACTTAAGTTTAAATATTCACATTATTAAGATGACCTTATACACCACCAAAACCAAAATTTTATTTTTTATAAAGTGGCAAAGCTTTAATTTATTGAACATCTGGGAGAACTTCAGAAGAGCAAAATAACTCCTCAGATAATTATTTTACCATTATCCTGTGTGAGAAGTCTATGAGCTTCAAGGTCAAACTCTTCTTTGCTGATCTTCTGCTTGAACCACAACTTTAAGTTAGCCCAGTATCTGTAGAGGCAGAAACAACATTAAGAACCACAGATTTGGCTTCTTCCCCAAGCTCACCTTACAGGCTCCAACTCCCAGGGGAGGAATTGCATTCCTTGGGGTTACGGGCTGAATTGTGCACCACCACCCCCAATTCATCCGTTAAAGCCCTAACCCCAGTACCTCAGAACATGACTGCACTTGGAGACCTTGAAAGAGGTAATTAAATGAAAATGAGGCCATTAGGAGTGGCCCTAATCCAACAGGATTGGTGTCCTTATAAGAGGAGGAGATTAGGATACAAAGACACCAGACATGTGCCCGTACAGAACCACCACCATGTGAACGCGCAGCAAGAAAAGAAGGCTGTCATCTGTAGGAGAGGCCTCAAAAGAAGCCAAGCCTGCCAACACCTTGCTCTTGAACTTCTAGCTTCCAAAACAGTGAGAAAATAAATTTCTGTCATATAAACCAAGCAATCTGTGGCATTTTGTTACAGCAGGCCTAGCTCACTAGTACCCCTAGGAATTAGAATACCAACAAAGAAACAGATAGGAAATCCCTCCCTAAAAGGAGACTGGCAGGTATTCGCAGAATTGGACTTCTGATTCCCTTAGCAAAAAACACAGCTATACCTTTCTCTCTCTCTGTCACTTTTCTAAAAGACCTACTCTCCAGAATGCTACATTTAAGATCTATATTTTAAAATGTGTACATGTTTTACAGAGAGGGGAATGATCATTTATACTCATTATGGACAGTATCTTTCCTTTCAGATGGACTCAATTTTTAATCTAACTGGCTGAAGAAATGGGTTTCTAAACACATTTTCACCACAAAGAAAGTATCTATGGACATGAGAAACTTAATGGTTTTCTTTTTTTTAAAGTGAAAACCAACACCTAATATTGCTAGGTAACTGGTAGGAAAAAAATGATTTGACCTTTTATACCTTAGTAACAGTGTTAGAAATAACAGTAAAACATATGGTTTTTCACATCACATTCACAACCCTTGTTTCGGTCCTTAAGGAAGCTGCCTCTTGTTCATGGAACAGGATTAAAAATTACTCAGTACTTGTTCTGTCACTTTCAATTCAAACCCACTTACTTTCTAATGCTCATTTGAGCTCTTAACAGAAAAAAAAAATCAGATTTCTGAATGAAATGCCTTAATGCTCTCACTGCCTTATTATATCCAGACTTCTGTATGTGTATTAGCTTCAAGTCATGTCCGTGACCACCTCTGTATGTAACTGACTACATAAGTGAGCAACTGCATGCAAAGCTTTGGGTTCATGTGCATTTTTTTTTTTTTTACAGGAGCACGCCCCCAGCTTTTACAGAGCCTTAAATGGCCCAAATCCCATGACACTGCCACCGTTCAGGCCCATTTCACTCAACAGTAAAACATTTGTAGCTCTAGAGCTTGGCACCCCTTCCACCTGATATCCACACATTCATTACTCACCAGGTCAATAGTAACTTCCCAGCAATGCACACTTTACTACTTTCTTAAAAGAGCAGGAATAATAATGAAATGAAATAAAGCTCCACAAAAAAGTCTTTTCCTATCTCATTCTATCCAACAAAGGATAAAGAGTAATAGGAGGAAAACTATTATTTAAAAGCCCTGTGTCACTATTTTACAAGAAAGATGCTAACAGAAACCATATCTAGAGCACTGAACTTGTTCCAGAACTACTCTGCCAAAATGATGCTATCTGTCTTCTCCAAAGGCAAACTTTCTAGCCCCAAGAGCCAGGACTGACTATCAAGAGTTATCAATAGAATACTTGTTCCCGGATTCTGGTCCCTTTGTTAACTCACAGTATAACCACAGAAAAATGACTGTTTCCCCCGATAATACCAAAAACAAAGTTAGTCAATCTCTATGAAGGTGAGGATGATGTGTGAGGAGTGTGAGTCAGACTAAGAAGCACTGGAGATAACCTGGAGAAAATTAAATAACATGAAAAAGACCTCAAAAAAAATTAAACAACTATCTCAACGTGACACTTTACTGAGTATACTATACAAAATGAGTGGCCAGCGAAGCCTGTGTCTCTGCAGGGCCTGACATGGGCACACAGTGTGACCCAGTCAGACGTAAAGGGCATCTGGACCCCTGGATAAACAGCAGAGTATTCATATCCAGGTTTCTTGTATAACCTTATGTGTTTCCTACCACCAACGACCACATTTAAATGGCGAGGTTGTACAAACCAAAACAAACTGCGTATGGGGGAAATGTGAGAAATGATTGTACAGTATAGCAATATTAGACTATTTAACCAAGAGGCACACTTTAAGGAGCAGACGGGGAAAAGGACAATGAGAGAACAGAAAAACAAATACAGAACAATACTGTTCCAGGCACACAAACCTCTTTTGACTGCATTGCTAGTGGGTATTCACACTACAAATGCACCAAATTTAGCTACAGCATTGGTATTTGACCAACATCAGACAATCGGTTTTGGCCTTTAAAAACTGAATAAGGTTATATGTACAGCAATTTGTTGGCTTATTGATTTGTCTGTTTTGTTATGGTTTGGTTTACATTTGTTTTGGGGAATTTTATACACATTAAAGATAATTTTCCATTACAAAAAAAAAGGGGGAAACTGAACAAAGAATGCTAACTATGAAAACACTTCTGGCAGCCCCAAACCTGTGTGTAATTGATGAGTGTGCGATCACAGAGGTCACCAATGCATCTAATCAGCATTAAAGTCAATTGTCTCACAAGCAAGGTCCTTAAGATTTACTGTGGTATATAAACATTCACTTTCAGATATTTGCAAGCATTCTAGATGGAACAGAATGAAACATCTCCTATCATGCTTACAAAATGTAAATTTTATCAGTATTACAAAAGTAAAAAGCTATAATAATGAAGGTAAAAGCTGTCCATTTTACCTATTAAAATGATTAAGAATTTTTAATTACAGCTCTAAGAAACAACCGTGATATAGCACATCTTATATTTTCCTGGTTAGAGCTGGAACCTATACTACTAAGTGAAGTATCCCAAGAATGGAAAAACAAGCACCACATATACTCACCAGCAAACTGGTATTAACTGAACAGCATCTAAGTGGACACACAGGTACTACAATAATAGGGTATTGGGCAGGGGGGAGGGGGGAGGGGAGCTGGTATATACATACATAATGAGTGAGATGTGCACCATGTGGGGGATGGTCATGCTGGAGACTGGGAATTGTGGGGGGGAGGGGGGACGGGCATTTATTGAAACCTTAAAATCTGTACCCCCATAATATGCCGAAATAAAAAAAAATTTAGTAAGAAAAAAAAGAATTTTTAATTAAATAAGCAACAGACTGACAGTTAACATGAATATTAAAAGATAACTGTCAGTGGAACATTCTTTAAGAGTCAATAAATGTTTACCCCAAATTAAATAATTATACTACAATAATTGATTAGATTTTAAGTCTAGTCTTTGTGGAAGTGTGATTTATTAGTATTTTGTTAGGATGAAAAGTAGACTGTCAAATCTGCTACCCCAAAATGTCACATGAAGGAAAAACTCCAAAAATCACTTGTGACATCCAAGCCAAGTAACTTCAATCCAGTCATAGTAAAGAACAAAGAAAGATGAAAAGAAGAAAAGTGTTGGAGAGAAAGTACTCACAAACACCTTGCTCCTCCACCAACATCATTTTATTGCGTAATGCAAATATGCAGAATACCACAGAAGCCAGATAGCATCAACAACACCCGCACTATAATTTTAAATGTTTCAAATTTGCTTTCTATGTTTTTGGAAAATAAAGTTGTAATAGCGTTTTGAAAATTTCCCAATTTATCCTTGTATCTCAGAGGTTCCTTCTAGGATATTATTTGGCTTTGGCCTTCGCTGGATATTGATTATACCCTCACCCATTCTGCATCTGACCCGACTGGGTACTGGGTCCTCCACCATAATAACCTAGCTGAAGGCTGGACGCCTCTGGGATTTTTTTTTGTTTGTTTTTCTGTTTTTGATACAGAGTCTAACTCTGTTGCCCAGGCTAGAGTGAGTGCCCTGGCTTCATCCTACCTCACAGCAACCTCAAACTCAAGCAGTCCTCCTGCCTCAGTCTCCACTGTAGCTTGGACTACAGGCACGCACTACCATTCCTGGCTAATTTTTTTTCTGTATTTTTAGTTGTCCAGCTAATTTCTTTCTATTTTTTAGTAGAGACGGGGTTTCGCTCTTGCTCAGGCTGGTCTCCAACTCCTGAGCTCAAATGATCCTCCCACCTCGGCCTCCCAGAGTGCTAGGATTACAGGCGTGAGCCACGGGCCCTCTGGGATCCTTCACACCCCCTGTAAGGCATAAGCGGAGGCCCCCATCCTGGTAGTGGTTTTTAAAGAGTTACTTAACCTCGCTAGGTCTCAGTCTTCCCATCTACCAAATGGGAATAATAATTGTGCCAGTCTGGTACGTGTTGTGAGGATTAGAGGAGCCACTGCCTGTGGAGCGCTTAAAGGGAGTTTAAATGTCCCCTACTGCTATCGTCGCTGTAATTGTCGCAGTGTCCGATGACTATCATTTTACAGGAGGGTCCGTCAGCCTTCCGAAATTCCAGCCAAAGCGCTCGCTAACTAAGGCCTGGCATACCACTCGAGCTCAATAGGCCTCCGCCTCCAGGAAGCCCTCGGGGCGCGGGCCGCCCTGCGCAGTGCCCGCCCTCTCCGGCCGGGCGCGTCGGGCTCCGGCTCGCTCAGCCCCAGACCAGGCTCACGCGTGCGGCCCCCGTGTGCGGGGACCCGGACCTGTCCGCAGGCCCCGGGGCGGGAAGCACGCTCCGCCCGCCCCACCCAGGGCAGAGCCGCGGCGGCGAGCGCGCCCGCCCGGCCGGTCGCGCTGAGGAGGCCGGGCCCTCCCGCGGGGTGAGGCCGGCGGCCCGCCCCGCCCCGGCCCGGAAACCCGGAGGCCCGCCGCCGCCGCGGACGCGGAGACGCGCAGGCCTCGGGCCGGCGGGGTCGGCAGCCCGAGGCCAGGAGGGCGCGCGCGTGCCGGCCCGGAGGCCGCGCCGGGGCAGCTCTTACTGTTTCACGTTGTCGCCCAGGGCCTCGCTCAGGTTCTTCTTGGCCGCCTCCAGCTCGCTCACAAAGGTCGCCATTGCTCCGCGCGTCTCCGCCCGACCGCGGACCGCCCGGCCGCGGGGACCAACAACCGAAAAACCAACTCGGCGGAAGGCCTTGGCGCTGGGAGCTGAGCTCGCTCCCGTCGGTCCCACCCCCCAATCGCTCGGAGGACGTTTGTTTGGTTTTCGGCTCCGCCCGCCTTTTTGTAGGGAAGGTGCCCAGCCAAACTCTGTTCTCGTCCTCCCGCCCCCTCGAGTCACGTGACCGGCTTTACCTTGTCGCGCGCCCAACCTAACCCGCCGGCCCCGCCCCGCCCCGGCTGCGGCGGCGCCTGCAGGGCGGGCGCGTCTCAGCCCTTTCGGCCTGTGACCCCTGGGCCGCTTCCGGATTAGACTCGCTGTGTACCGGGAGGAATAGTTTTCCCTCTCCGGGTCAAAAAGTAGATGTAGTATCAATTTTGTTCTCTTTCCTTGTCGTATTTTTTTTTACTGAGCGCTCATCATCCAATATGCCAGACAGGAGTTGTGTTTCATTCAGTATTTGCCCCAGTTCCTAGAGGAGCGCCTGGCACATAGTAGACGCTCAGTAAATATTTGCTGAGTAAATTAAGTATCGTAATTATAAAACACTGGGAGAATACACAGAAGTATAAAGACAAAAGAAACGTGTTTTACCACCCCCTGACAAACCCTTCTGAGACTTCTCCCTCACCGTCACCCTCCCCATAACTTCTAACCATACCTCTATGTTCAATTTCACATCTTTTTTAAATTTAGAAGTATTTACCCGTTGTATTACATTGCCGTTATACTCATAATTTTAATGACAGCATATTAAATACCCCCACAGATAAAATGTACACAATAGCTAGTTCCCCAGTTGTTAGAGACTGTTTTCATTTTTCTCTATTAAAAGTAAAACTGTAATAAACTTTTTATGCATAAAGTTTTTCCTCCTTTTAAGATTATTACTTTAGGATAGAGTCCCACAAATAGAATTACTGGTTCAAACGATGGGAATATTTATAAATGCCTTGATGCATGTTGTCAAATTGCTTCTCAAAAGATTTGAAATAATCCTAAATGGCTTTTAAATCTTGTGTAATTTCTGCACGGAGGCCCCCGTCAAGTCTGTTCGTACATTCAATTTCATGCTTGCAGCCAACCTAAATTCGTCAGCCCTCGCTGGCTGCAGCGTGGCCCGTAGGGCTGGCTGGGCACCTGCTCTTCATTTGGACCGAATTCATACAATGACCTCCTATCCTATCATGTGCCTGGTACTCTTAAACAAGGCATGTAAAGTCTTCCTGTCTTGTGTCAACACTCCAGAGAAATTCTCACCCTTTTAAAAAAAATTTTGCTTTGTTTATTAATCATCCGTTTAAACTTTCCATGGCTCCCCAATGTCTGCGGAACAAATTCCAGACTCCAGCGTTCAAATTTTCTCATGGCCTGAACTCAGCTTACCTGTGTACCCTCCACACACCCTGGCTTGCTTCCGTCACTCCCACACTTGTGCTCTGCATTCCAGTTAACTTGACTTTCTATAACAAACCACATGGCTCAGTCTTTATACATACCTCCTCTCTGCTGGTTTTGAGATTAATGAGTATCTACCTCCATTTATTTCAATCAGGATATATGTGAACCTATTAAAGGATCAATTCAACAGGACCAGGAAAGGGTACAGACATCTAGGTATATATTCTAGGAATATATCATCATCCCCGTCTCTACCTAGCCACTAAGAATGACGGGTCTCAAAGATTTTCTTTCTTCTTGAATCCATACTTGACAACACTCATACCTCTACATCTAGTTCAATTAAATATTCCTTTCTTTCTCAGCACTTTTACACCTATTAGCACTAATTTTAGTGTATTCAGTTAAATGTCCATTTAAACTGTAGTGTTAAACAATATAATATATACAAGTGGACATCTAACCAAACAAGGTAGTACTTAATAGAAATGAACACCAAAACCACTTGTAATTTGGCAGTTTACTTTAAAGAAATTAATTCTAAATCCTTTTAGTTATAGCAATACTTGTATAATGCATACCGCCAACTATTAAATATGTTCAGAAAACGTGTATCAAAGTGCTTTATAAAATGTAAAGAACTTGACAAATGATAGTTTAGTCTAATTTTGGGGGGGTTTGTTTTTTTGTTTTTCTTTTGATCCATTTTTTGTATCATCCTGTAGCTGGTTACAAACTGGTTTGAGGATAACTAGTACAGTCAACTCAATAGGACATTGGGAACAGACATTATCTGAGGACCCAACCTTCCCTAGTATCTAGGTATTTATGAGTCGTTCTCATAAACACTTAGATGTGTATGTATAAATATATATTCATATGTTCTTCATATATATAAAATAAAATTTTCCATTATTTATATTTTTTCATATCTTTTTTCCATTTCATCAGATGGATAACTGAAGGTTGATGATATTAGTCATATATTATATATTGCCTGTTTTTATGCAACTCCTTTTCCTCATAAATATAATTGTGTACAAAGGAAAACCCTCCAAAAAGTTTATTTTCATAGTGTTTTACTTAAATATTTATGAAAGCTTGGCTTCTGCCGCCTTAATTCTTCCCATTCTGTATTTTGTTAAGAACTGGATTTTTGGCATTGGGATTTGTTTATTGTGGTATTTTTGTGGTATAATATGAGATCTATCTTTTAACAAACTTTGAAGTGTATAGTACATTATTGCTCACTCCAGGTACAATGTTGTAATGCAGCTCTCTAGACCCTGCTCATCTTACTCGACTGAAACTATGATTAATAACTCCTATATCCCCTCTCACCATCCTCTAGCAAATACCATTCCACTCTTCAATTCTATAAATTTTTCTATCTTAAATACCCATATAAGCCGAATCATGCAGCAGTATTTGTCTTGCTGTGACTGGCTTATTTCACTTAGTATAATGTCTGTCCTCGGGGTTCATCTGTGTTGTCGTGTATTGCAGAATTTCCTTCTCTTTAAAAGCCAATAGTATTCCATTGTATGTATACACCATATTGTCTTTATCCATTGATCTGTCCAGGGACATTTATGTTGTTTGCACATCTTGGCTATTGTGAGCAGTGCTACAATGAACATAGGAGTGCTAATATCTCTTCAGGATTCTGATCTCAATTCTTTGGGATAAATACCCGTAAGTGGGATTGCTGGATCATATGATAATTCTGTCTTTTAATTTTTTTAGGAAACCTTACTCTGTTTCCCATAGTCACTGCACCATTTTGCATTCCCACCAACAGCGTCCAAGGGCTCCAATTTCTCCACATCCTCACCAATATTTGTTGTCTTCTGTTGGCATTTAGAATTTGATGTTGAGTTTGGGGTGAGATGTTCCACCTCTGGAGATTCTCTAATTATTATTCTGTCTTTATCCAAGATTTGATATTTAGTTTCTTTAGATCTTTTTATAAATAATTGAAATAATATAAATAACCTACCGCAGTAGAAATGTTTGATTGACTTTCCTACTCCACCCATTAGCATAGACTCATTAGCCTTTTTCTCTAAGCAGTGTCAGCAGATATGTGAGTTGTTTTCCATTTCAGACATCAGCAGCTCTGCTTTACTAGAAGGATACTCCAAGTTCAGCCTTAAAATATTGTTAATAATATTTTTAATTTCCTTGTTGAACTTACCATTATAACATTTGCTGTGATTTTTAATACTTATACGGTATTCTATTGTACATAAGGTACATGCATATGCTAACTATACATATAGTACCTATACATATGGTTATGCTGTGGTACATAGTGGCTCACACTCAACATAAATGTCTGCTAGAATTAAATATTTTAGAAAATTCTATGTAATGTTTCTCCTCATCTATGCCTATACCCATCTACAGATTTTAGTATAGTTAAAGGTTATAGGTGCAGAATAGATTAGGCCCTAGTAAAAATTATGGTTGAAAACAAACTGAGAGTCATCTTTTCCTGATACCACATATATTTATTTTATGCCTACCAGAAGGAGCAGAGGAGATAAAGAGTTCTTAATATTTTTTTTCTTCTTAAGATACAGGGTCTCACTTTGTTGGCCAGGCTGGAGGTAGTGGCAAGACCATAGCTCACTGCATCCTTGAACTCCTGGGCTCAAGTGATCCTCCTGGCTCAGCCTCCTGAGTAGCTGGAACTATAGACTCAAGCCACCACACCTGGCTTTTTAAAAATTTTTTATTATTATTTTTTTTTAGTGCCATGGACCTCCTTGGCAGTCTGGTGATGCCTTTGGAGCCCTTGTAAGAATAATGTTTTTAAATTCATAAATTACATAAGATTACATTTAAAACAATTTTATTGAAGTACAGTTCTATCCATGCACCCTTTGGAGGCCCATCAGCTTAAGATCCTCTGAAGCTTTACAGGCACTTGTCTTACTCTGCTTAGGTTTCCATAACAAAATACCACAGGCTGGGTGGCTTAAACAATAGAAACTTGTTATTTGGCAGTTCCGGAGGCTAGGAGTCCATGAGCAAGGTGCTGGCAAATTCAGTTTCTAGTGAGGGCTCTCGTCCTGGTTTATAACTGGCTACCTTCTAGCTACATCCGCACACGGCCTTTCCCCAGTGCATGCTAAAGGACAGAGAAAGAGTGAGCTCTCTGATGTCTCTTCTTATAAGATCACTGCTAAGGTCTGAATGCACATTCCTCCTGACCCCCAATTCATATGTTGAAACCTAACCCTTGAAGGTGGGACCTTCCAGAGGCCATTATGTCATGAGGGCTCTGCCTCAGGAATGGAATTAATGCACTTATAATAAAGCCCTGAGGGAGCCCTTCCATCCCTTCTGCCTTGTGAAGACTTAGAAGGCGCCATCTATGAGGAGCAGACCCTCGCCAGACACTCAATCTGCTGTTGCCTTGATCTTGGACTTCCCAGCCTCCGGAACTATAAGCAATACATTTCTGTGTATAAATTACAGAATCTAAAGTATTTTGTTATAGTAGCCCAAATGGAGTTAAATAGACACCAATCCTATCAAACCAGGACCCCATCCTTATGACTGCACTTAACCTTAATTGCTTCCTTAGGGGGCCCACGTCCAAATACAGCAGCACTAGAAGTTAGAACTTCAACGTATAAATGTGGTGGCAGGGCAGAGGAGGGAATGGAGGATACAAACATTAGGTTCATAACAGTGCTACAGAGCTTTGTTGTTGTTGTTGTTGTTCAGCACCTTTGAAACTTAATTACTTCTTTTGGGACCCTACCTACCTCCAAATACAGCCTCACTGGGGTTTAAAGCTTTCAACACATAAATTGGGTGGAGGTGGGGTTGGGGGGAGCACAAACATTCAATCAGTAGTGGTACTACAGAGCTTTTTTTTTTGTCAGCACCTCTGACCTGAAGGCACGGAGCTTTAACTATAGTTTCTGTTTCCCTTCCTCGAGAGCTCTTAAAGATTAAAGTTCTAGCACGTGAACTAGAGATTCTAGTGAATGAAAGACACCTACACAACTCCCAAAATACTGAAAAGCAGGCACTGTTTTTATAATTAACACATCAAATCATTTTTTTTTTCTGGAGTTAGTGGATCTTAGAATAAAGGAGCAAATATTTAGGGAATAAGAGGAAAGAGGCATGATCTGTGCATATAAATGGAGATAATTAGAAGCCAGTCAACTGTATAATACTTAGATATTATGAAATGTAAAAAAAACTCTACAAATATTAGCTTAGGTTTTTAAATCTATTTTTTGAATTATTCTATAGCAATTTTACCTACCCCAGTTAGAGTAGTACTAGTAAAAGTACAAGTGTTATTAACAACTCAGAGATTTAGAATTAGGACCATTCACTGAGAACAGAGTAGCAGTAGAGTTTCCTGTACAGCTAGGAGGACAAAATATGGGGCAGAGCTGGACCACTAATTAGTTTCTGAGGACACAAGGAAGTAGCCAACCATGGACAAAGCCCCTCTTGTCTCCCCAGGATATTTCTATCCCCTGAAGGGAATCACAGAAGAAGCCCTTAATTCTGTTGCTTCTTCTTGGAGCCTGGCAGCCAAGATCCTCTTGGTTCTATGAAGGTAACAAAAATGGACAGTCTACAATGACCATGAGCAAATGGCTTAAAGGGCTCCTGTTAAAGATGAAATTGGCCCTGGGCATAATATCAGAGGTATTTATGGGACCATTTTTTAAAACCTTTCCAAATATAAGTTATTAAACTGCACACATTGGAAAAGGATCCCTTCCAACCTCTGTAAGCATTTAGCCAAATGAAATTTGGAAAACTTGGCTGAAGCCTTTGACCACTATTCAATGTGCACAAGAGCTTCTCCACAGTGCTAACAAATATTTTTGTGTCATGATGAAGGTCAAGCATTGAAGAGGTCTTTGGCACTCTGGGCAGGTGGAGATTCCAAACTGATGCACTGTCACTGGAATTGCTAATGACATAGCAAGACTGTGCTGGATGACATCGTCTCCTGGAAGGGGAAAGCCACAGTGTTGATCCAGAAAGATGAATTGCTCTTTGGTGTTGCCTCAAAAAATCTGACCCCAGGCAAGGGATTTGATAAGCGAATTTCAGAAGATTTGGCTAGACCCATTGGTTGAAATCCAGGAGATAGTTCACTTCCTTGAGTTAAGGCTGCAATTATACCGAAGAGAGCTTTCTATCCTTGGGAGCTAAGATTTCCCCCAAAGTAAGGAGCTCAATCTTGCATCTTTTATTAGCTTTATGCCCAATTTCTTTTACAAATATTGTTGCTCTTATAAAGACATCTATTTTGTCTGTTACCTTGTCCCCTTATTGTGTATAATTTGATTTGTTGGTACTTTGGAATGAAAAACAGCATGGTGTTAAAGTGCAAGCTCCAGAGCTAGTTTGCTTGAGGTTTGAATCCTGACTTTTCCTAATTTAGCTGTATGACTCCGAACAAGTTACTTAATCACTCTGCCTCCGTTTCCACATCTGAAAAGTAGGATAGTAACACTACTTACTACTTCATTGTTATAAAAATTAAATTATTATAACATGTAAGAGTACATGAAGCCCTTGGAACATGCCAGGCATGTAGTAAAAAAATATGTGATAGCTATTATTATTATGCCTACCTAGTGTATAGCAACACTGCTAAACTCCTTTATTAGTTCTAATAGCATACCTGCAGAATTCTTAGATCTTCTATACAGACAATCATGTTGTCAGCAGATAAGGGAAACTTTGTCTTTTTCTTTCCAATCCTTAGGCTTCTTTTTTCATTTTCTTGTGTTTTTGTGTGTGTTGCCTGGACCAGCACTGTGCATTGGAACTTTCTGCAATGTTCTATAGCTGGGTTGCCCAAATAAGGTAACCACATATGGCTATTTTGCACTTGAATCAGGAACCAGATTTTTTTATTAAATTTAAATTCGAATAACCACCTTTGGCTAGTGGCAACCCTATTAAGCAGCTCAAGACTAGACCTTCCATTACAGTGTGGAGTAGTGGTACTGAAAGTGGGCCTTTATGCCTGGCACCTGGCTTCCATGGCTCTCCTCCTCACAGTTCAGCAAGAAGTATGATATTTGCTGTACATTTGGAAAGGCACCCTTTATTCCCAGTTTGCCAAGAAGCAGAACCAATAAAAAAGGAAAAAAGTATATATATATATATATAGAGAGAGAGAGAGAGAAAGAGAGAGAGAGAGAGAGAAACAAAGAGAGAGAAAGAGAGAGAGAGAGAGAGTGTGTGTGTGTGTGTGTGTGTGTGTGTGTGTGTGTATTTATTATGGGAATTGGCTCATGTGATTATGGAAGCTGAGAAGTCCCACCATCTGCCATCTGCAAGCTGGAGCAAAAGGAAAGCTGGTGGTATAATTCAGTTCCAGTCTAAGGGCCTGAGAGATGGTGCGGACAGGGACTGGGGAGTCACCAATGTAAGTCTTAGAGTTCAAAGGTGGAGAATCAGAAGGCCCCAAAACCAAGGGCAGGAGCAGATGGATGTCTTAGCTCAAGAAGGCAGAGAGAGTTAGTCCTTTTTGTTCTATTCAGGCTCTCAACAGATTTGATGATGTCCACCCACATTGGAGAAGACAGATCTTTACTCAGTCTACTGATTCAAATACTAATCTCTCCCGGGAACACTCTCACAGAGGTATCTAGGCATTCTTCAGCTCAATCAAGTTGACACATAAAATTAACCATCACAATGCATAAACGCGTCTTGGCATCTATTCAGAGTTACACTGATAGATTGTTTTTTTTTTCTGATGTCCACTTTTGTATCTCTGAGATAAATGCTTCTTAGTTATGATGCATTTTTAAAATATTCTAGGCCGGGCACGGTGGCTCACGCCTGTAATCCTAGCACTCTGGGAGGCCGAGGCGGGAGGATCGCTCAAGGTCAGGAGTTTGAAACCAGCCTGAGCAAGAGCGAGATCCCATCTCTACTAAACATAGAAATTAATTGGCCAACTAAAAATATATAGAAAAAAAATAGCCAGGCATGGTAGCACATGCCTGTAGTCCCAGCTACTCCGGAGGCTGAGGCAGGAGGATTGCTTGAGCCCAGGAGTTTGAGGTTTGTGAGCTAGGATGGCACCACAGCAATCTAGCCTGGGCAACAGAGTGAGACTCTGTAAAAAAAAAAAAAAAAAAAATTCTACTCTATTTGATTTGATAATATTTTGTATAGATTTTTTTGTATGTATGGTCATAAATAAAATTAGCCTAATAATTCTGAGCACTGTCCTTGTCTGAATATCAAAATTTTATGCATTGCACCATGAAAGGAGTTGGAGAATTTTTTCACTTCTTCTATGCTCTGAAACAATGTTTTAAAAAAGGGAGGGGGACTTCTCTGCTCTCATCGACAATTTAAGAAAATTCCCAGCGAAACTATCTGAGCTTGTTCTCTTGGTAGAGAAGAGGGCAAAATTTTTGAACTGTCCAATTCAATTCCCTGGTTATTTGGGTTTCTTATTTCTTTTTGAGTTAATTTGTGGTTATTTTGTTTGTTTGTTTTTTCTATATACAGTTCCTTTCTCTCCATGTTTTCAAATTAGCTCAGTTTTGACCAGTGGTTATTTTTTTCTATTTTTTTAATTTTTATTTATTAAAAATTATTTTCTTAATTTAATTTTTTTTCTAATTATTTTTAGGGTTGCATTTGCATTGTAAGTGCTTGTTATTTTAAAGCCTGTGTCAAAAGTGAAAATACAATCTTGTGCTTCCTTTGGCAGCACATATACTAAAATTGGAACGATATTGAAAAGATTAGCATGGCCCTGAACAAGGTGTAAGGTTTATCGGCGGCGGCGAAAAGAAAAGACAGACACAGAGAGAGAAAGAGTGGGGGCCAAGCCACGTGGCTTTATTATACACTCGTGGACGAGGTTCTGGGGCCCCAAGAGAGGGGGGCCCCAGAAGTCGCCCAGACCAGTGGTTATTTTGCTAGGGTCAGGAAGGGCTCCTGAAGGTGTGTGAGTATCCCATCCCCTTGGTTACCACCACCACCCTTCTTTGCATTTTGGTGGCTACAAGATACACTGTTAACTATCTTCCTGACATCTCAAAGAATGGCCCCACCTCTGGCTTAATTTGCTGGACTTTATTACAAAGAAAACTCAGTAGGGCCACAAGATGAAGGAAAGGCTGAATTATGGGTTCATTAAGTCTGAGTCCTAGCCCTTAGGCCTTTTTTCTTCTTTTTTTAAGAGGCAGTTTATGTTCTTAGATTTGCAAATTCAGTTTAAGCGCTGGGTCTTCTTTTAGGCAACTCGAGCAATTGCTGGCCTGGAAAATCTATGTTCAGCCCCACCAAAGTAAACCCAACCAAGGGCGCCCCAGGGCATCCCCCAAAACTTTCTGCACGGAGAAAGCAGATCCCCCCATCTCGGGGCTGGTCTCTGTCCTGCTTCTTCCAAGAAGCTTAACAGTGGCGGGGCGGCCCGTGGGCCGGAAGCAACAGCGGGCAAGTTCCCGGCGATGCAACCTTTCGCCAGGCCAGCAGGTCTGCCCGAGTCGGTCCTGGCCCTGCTGGTGCGCCGCGACGCAGGCACCTGCCCAGGCGTGCCCGCGCGAAGGACTTTGCGTGCTGTCGCCCCCGAGCGGCTGGCGGAGAGATCAGGGTCCCCGCGCCGCCCCCCCCCTTGGCTTTAAATCCCCTCCTCCTGCAGGAAGCCGGAGTGGGGAGTTGGCTTTGGGTCGGTGCATCTTTCCAAAGGCAGCACCACGGTGCTGCGTCCAGCACCAGAGCGGCTGTGTCCCGAGAAGAGAAGCGGACAGTCAGGGCTGGTCTCCCCGGCGAGCGACAAGTCTCGGTGGCAGTGCATCCTACCTTCCCTAAGGGAAGAAGAGACGCCCGGGCGCGCAGCACCGCTCCGCCCGCCTGGTGTGCGCCCCGCGGCCGCCAGGGGGTGATGCGCCCTCACCTTTCCTCCAGGACGCCGGGGATGCCAGTGAGAACCGCGGGTCTCTGCATCCCAGCCAGAGCCTTTCGGGCCACGATGATACCACTGGCCACCGGCGGGGCTCTGCTGGCCAGCTGACGCGCGCGCATTCCGGTCTACTAGAAGAAGAAGCCCCTGGGAAGCCCTGGCCTTTGGACTCACACACCTTGGCCGTCCAAAGGTGGGATTTTCAGACCCTTCAAGAATGACAGGGATAGGCTCAAAATCATTGCCCTATTCCAGACAGGGTTATCACCTGCAGGAAGAAATGGACTAATTGCCACATTTGGGAACAGTCTGGGAGCTGCGGACCCAAGAGACCTTACAGCAGTTGGCTGGTGGAGGCAGGACATACAGGGGGGTCTGTAGAGCTCACCCAGCCCTGAGAGCATGGGCACAGACGAAGGGAGAGGGCAGAAAGCAGCCCGGTGTGAGCGCTCTTTCCATCACCTGCTGTTAATACATAATGATAGCTAACGTGTATTAACCAACTACTAGCCAGGGGCTACTGCATTGCCTCCTTTAATCCAAACCATAACCCAGTGAAGTCTGAACTGCTGCTGGCCCCATGCCACAGGTGAGGAAACTGAAAGCTTAGGAAAGTTTGACTGCTGTCGGTTACACAGTAAGTGGCAGAGTTAAGACCAGAACCCAGGTCTGCCTGGCACCAGGGCCCACGTGCTTTATCCACTTCTCCATAACAATCACAGCAGTAAGAGTTAACTCCAGTGAGCATTTCATAGCTGCCAGGCATTGTGCTGAGTCTGTTTTTTGTAATGCTTTCTTAATTCTCACCACAACCCCAGGAGGTAGGTACTATTATTGTCATCCCCATTTTACAGGGAGATAAACTAAGTCACAGAGGGTTAAGAAACTCGCTCACAGTTACACAGTACCTGATAGAGCTGGATTTAAGCCCAGGCAGCCCCACTCCAGAGCTCAAACACCAGCTGCCACGTTCTGCGGTTTGCCCTATTATAGGTGCCTGGGTGTCTCCACCATCTCTTCCCAAAGATTTCGTCTGAGGCAAGCTGGGAAGGTGTGAAAACGCCTCGATAACCTCCAACCAGTGTAGCTGATGCATCCTTTCAACCATCGGCTTTCCACTGCACCTCCCTGCAGCCCTGGGTTCCCATGCCCGCTACGATGGGGCTCACACATGCCCTGTCCCCATGTTTTGAGAGATGCCCTCTACAGGCGGCACTGGCCTCAGTAGGTGCACATCAGCTAGGTGAGAGATTTAGAAGGAATAATCTTTTTCTTCATTACAAATGTCTGATGCCCGACTTTATTGCCTTCCCCCCAGTTACCAAGTGTTTTGCAGAGTACAAACCTAGAAAACAGTATCTGAATGGTTGACCCAGCTTGGCATGATGCGGCAAGTCCCACCCAGGCTTCCTCCATGTCGAAGAAGGACTATACAATTGCCATGTGGTGTTTGAAACGGACCTTGTGAGACTGTGTCTTTATGGTAGAGCCGGGCACAGGCTTTACTCTTACTGTTTCCTAGTAGGATTTGGGCGGCTTACGACATCAACAATGACAACAACAACAACAAAACAGACAAATACCAGAAGTGTGCCCTTTGCTATTTCTGCATTATTATGATCTGTTGGGAGCCTGAGATGTTAAATTTGTGTGTGAAGAGGCTTACAGCTATGGTAAACCTGGGTCATAAAATTTGGCTGCTATCCTCGCAGTGATTTTTAACCCGAGGGATGCCTGCCCAATACAAAACGGACAGTAACTGGAGATCATTTCTTTACTATACATGATGGATTGTTGGGAAGCCTCAAACCTCGTGGTACTTACTGTATTGCTGGCAGGCCTAGATGGCACGTTTTCCCAGAATGCCAATGACAGGAGCCGCAGCCTTTTCTGCTGTGTGCCAATGTGCACTCTGTGTGTGTGTATTCTAATGCCCAGAAGAGCCAGCTTTTGAACAGATAATAATAATGTTATTAGAAATAGGTGATAGGCTAATAGGTAGAGGGCAACTGCAGCATTAGCCAGGGCAGTGGGGAACCCCAAACTTACCTGGAAAGCCCGAATGTTAGGAAGACTGAATTAAAGGAGGCAAGTTTCAAGATGTTTGCTACGGCTTAAATCAGAAATCCATTTTATAGGATCATTTTCTAAAAAGCTATATGGGCTTGTTGAGGGCAATCTGGGATGGAGGTAAACTAACTTCAGTCACATGGAGGAGGATGAGCCTGGGCCTTGGTTCCCAAAGTAGTCTTGTCTGGTAACTAGTTATAAGTTATTTCTTTGGTTATGCCTGAACATTAAGAAAATTCTCACCCCAAGCAACAACCTGGTTTGAGCTGTGCTGTGGGGAATCAGAGAAGAGTCAAATAAAATAGGAGCAGTAACCTTGTTTCGGCCAATGTGGTGGCTGGACACTGCGGGAGGGGGTCAGCGGTGGTGTGAGCAGTGACCACAGGCAGAGAAAGGAGCAGTGTCCAGAGCCAGGTAGTGGCAGAAATACGGTGGTGTCACAGACTGACTTACAGCCTGGGGGAACCCCTTCTGCCTCCGGGATTACCCCAGGCTCCAGGGCCCCTGAAAGTGAGGCTGGATGTTCTGTGTGAAGAGGGAGAGACAGAGAAGCATTATTATTTGGACATAATGATAAGTGTGTAAAGTCTGCCACATGTTGGTAATAATGAAATAGCTCAATAGTTTATAGCTCAAGCCCTAATCAACCAAGCCCCACTCCCAAACATACATATATATATATGTTTCTTTTGGGCCTTAAGTGTTGGGCAGAAGTCTTTATGGTTGCTGCAGGGAAGAAATGTGTGAGTAGTTTCCCCCAACAACCAAGCAGCCTGGGCATCAGACGTCTAGGACATGGGGACATTTTATATGTAATATGAATTATATTGGATGGCAACTTCTTTGAATAAAAGGCTGCTCTTTAACTGGCGCAGTCATAAGCAGCAATGACTGAATAAAAGCTTGTGCTCCTCTAAATCTATGTCGTTTCTGAATAATTTTTTCTCTAGCCTCCCCTAGGGAACCCTGGGGAACACAGAACACTGGGGGAAAGTGAGATACTAATCTCAATTTGGCCACTAACAGTGTCATTTTGAAACCTCTGTAACATACCTGTTTACCTTTTTCAAAATCCTCACCAACAGAGTCACAGTATCCCTCCAGTCATAATTTCGAGCACTGTGTCTCCATAGTGATGATTCAGGCTCCCGTTGTCATGGTGATTGTTCTATGGGCTAAAACACTTCCATCAGTCCTTCCCCTCCTTCTCATTACCATTGCCAGTTCTTCAGCGCAGGCCATTATTATGTCTTCAGAATCTAGCACTGGGCCTGACGAATAATAGGCGGTCAATGTATTGAACGACCATATCTAACCAAGACTATTAAAAAAGCTCTTACCTAGTCTTTCTGTCTCCAGGCTTTGTCCTATGAGCTATTATGCCTTATCTTTTTTAAAATTTCATTTCATTCATCTAGTTTCATTTACTGGAATTTTAAATTACAGGAGGAAATGCATGCTCATTTTAGAAAACTCAAACAATTTAGATGCCTACAAAGTTAAAAGTAAACATTCCTCTCTCCACCAAAATAAATTCCAGCTGGATCAATGATTTAAACATAAGAAACTACAAAAGCTCTAAAAGAAGTTATAATTCTGTGATGATGAAGGGCTGTTTTAAGTAAGAACAAAATCCAGAAGCCATATAAAGCAGCAAAACTAATATATTTGACCATAGAAATATTTCAAAAAGTTGCATGGGGAAAAATGCCATAAACGAAGTCAAAAGACTAATGATAAACTGGGAAAATGTATTTGAGAAACAAATGGTGAAAAGATAAACTCACTTAGGAAAGAGCTTTTACAAGTCAGTATGAAAAAGATGACCAACCAGGAGAAAATGGTCAAAGGGTATTAATGTTTGAGTAAAAGAAACACGGCTGGTCAGAAAACAAATGACAAGGTGCACTACCCCCTACACAATTAAATAAATTCAAATGATCAAAACTACATTGAATAAATAAGATTTTTTCACTTCTCTGATTGGCAAATATAGATGTTTAAGGACACCTGGGGGGAAATCATTGGTGGAAATGTGCCTTGTTATTTTTTTTTTGGAGGATAATTTGACAATATCTGCCAGAATTTAAAAGACATATCTCTTTTCATGTGTAATCCCTGTGCCAGAAATTTACCCAATAGATAGAGTTACAAACATTTAGCAAAATGTTATGTACCAGAATGTTTATTGCTATACTGTTTTGTAAAAGCAAAAGATTGGAAACATCCAGTATTCATAAGTGGAGGTCAAGTTAACTAAATAACAGTAAATCTATATGATGGAGTCAGGATGCCTCTGTGAAAAGAATAAGGTAGTTTTCTATCCTCAAGAGTCAAAAGAACAAGTTGCAGTGCAATGTGTAACATTTTTATAAGAAAAGAGAAATAGGTGCACATATGATGTGAATATATGCATGCATTAAAAGAGGTTTTGAAATACAGGAAACAATGGGATGGGAGCTTGTGTGAAGAAAAGGAAAAAGGCTTTCACTTTCATTTTGTATCTTTCACTCATTAAATTTTTCATCTTATACATGTTTCATGCATGACATTTTAAAAAACTGTCAGTAGGGGTGTCCTTTTCTCTACTTGCCCAACTACAATGCCCAGAGATACTTTTTACATTCAGTTTTTTCTTCATGCATATAGGAAAGATGCAAATGTGTATTTTTGAATATGCATAATCATAATCTTTGTTGTTAAAAAATGGGATTATATATAGCTCTTAAATTTTCTTTTCCTAGTTTATATTAATATATCATTCACAGATTTCCATGTAAGGACATACTGCATAAAATTCCACATAAGAATATGCTGTAACTTATTTACCCATTTTCTAGAATGTTCTTTCTAATTTCTTGTGTTTACACTCAATTCTGCAATGACCATAATTTTGCATGATTTATTTGTGTATGCATGCACTTCTGTAGGATCTATTCCCTAATGTGGAATTCTAGGTAAAAATGTAGATAATGGAAGCACAGGAGGTCAATGACATCATGCTTGTCATTTAAAACTGCTATTATCACGTTTTTAACCTTCCATTGGACAACACAAGTCACATGGCCAACCCAAAGTCAATAAAGTCGGGAATTACACTGTGCCCACCATTCAGCAATGGCAAGGACAGAGGAGGAAGATTTAGGGAATATAATAAAAATCTAACTTAGTCTGCCATATTACTGGCATGTCTGTATTTTTGGTTTTGTGTTTTTTTCTTTAGCAGCGTTAATTTTTTCAGCAGTTGCTGTCAATGTTCCATCTATATCCCCTTAACATTCACCTCTACAAGCCAGCGTTCTTCACTGTAAACATCCACAACTCTCTGCCTGGAGACTTGTCTTCAGCCCAGCAAAGAGGACAAGCAGGATGTGCTGAAGAATTAATGACCTCAGAAGCAGCCCTCAGCCAGAGATGGGCAAGGATTTGAGGGATAAATGCTCCAAATGCCTCACTCCTCAACTAGGATGATGGAGCCATTCCCACGTAGCCTCCCAGAATTCCCCATCAGGATTGAGTTCCAGATGCAGGAAATGGTAACTGCCTTGACAATGCACTCTTTACTGACTTCCTTCCTTTCCCTGTCTCACTTCCCACCCTCACCCCTTGCCCTGGGCCACCTCTTTGCCACGAACTACTTGTCCTCAAATTCTTATTTCAGAGTATGATTTGTGGGGAACCCAAGCCAAAGCTGCTCCACTCCCAATATTCATAAAGTAATCTCTTGTGTGTTGAGAGTTGGATGTAAAGACACCTAGAACTATCCATGGATTCTAATTTAGCAGATCAAGAGTTAGGCACAAAATCAGTACCTTAACCTAAATGTTCTTTTGGAGATGACATTAAATTTAAGAGAGTCTTTACCTTATATGATCATAACTTTTTATTTTTTATTTTATAAGTTCACCAAAGTATTAACAAGTGAACTCTGAGAAAAGACTTGGAAAAAGTGAACCAAATATAAGATGGTTCTTCTTTAGAGAAAAACATAAAATTTACTCTACCTTCATGTCTGGCTTGCATCCTTATGAGCTCTAGATATCTGGGCTCACTTTTACTTCTCACCAGTTATTTTCCAGGAATACAGATTTTATTCCCATGCTGCTATTTTTTATTTATTTATTTATTTTTTTTGAGACAGAGTCTCACTCTGTTGCCCTGGCTACAGTGCCATGGCATCAGCCTAGCTCACAGCAACCTCAAACTCCTGGGCTCAAGTGATCCTCCTGTTTCAGCCTCCGGAGTAGCTGGGACTACAGACATGTGCCACCATGCCCGGCTAATTTTTTCTATATCTTTTTAGTTGGCCAATTAATTTCTTTCTATTTTTAGTAGAGACGGAGTCTTGCTCAGGCTGGTCTCAAACTCCTGACCTTGAGTTGGCCTGACCTCCCACGTTGGCCTCCCAGAGTGCTAGTTGCCTGGCCCATGCTACTATTCTTTACTAGATGCATATTCAATAACTCAATCTTTTATAATAGGGTCTCTGCTGCACTCAGAGCCTAGGCAATAAACAGAAACCATTAACTCCTCAGGCAAAAGGGGCAAGGAGAGGAAATAGTGTTACCAGTGAGAATTGAAACTATGGAGGAGATGTCTCTCCTTTTATCAGGTATACGACCTCAGGGCAGGTGTAGCAAGTTAAATTGTGGCCGCCAAAAGATATATTCAAGTCCTAACCCTTGCTACCTGTAAGTGTGATCTTTGGAAATAGGATCTTTGCAAATATATTTAAGGATCTCAAGATGAGATCACCCTGGATTTAGAATGGGCTTACTGGATCATCTTGGATTTAGGGTGGACACCAATTACTGATATCCTTGTAAAAGAAAGGAGGAGAATTGAGACCCCAAAACAAACATGGGGGGAAAGTCATGCAGAAATGAAGGCAGAGATTGGGGTGATGTACCTATAAGCCAAGGAATGACAAGAGTTGCAGCCACAAGAAGCTAGGAGAGAGGCCTGGAAGGGATTATCGCTAAGAGTCTCCAGGAGCCAACCCTGCTGACAACTTGATTTTGAACTTTTTGTCTCCAGAACCATGTGAGAGAATAAGTTTATGTTGTTTGAAGCCAACCCATGGTAATTTGTTACGACAGCCCCAGGAAACTAATACAGCAGAGAAGGAGTGGGGGAGAGACACCCTGGCCTTCCTCTCGTCCTGCCCTCTGCTCTCCTGCCAGTGCTCGCATCGGCCAAACTGAAGTGGCAAGGGAGCCCAGAAGATGCCGTCTGCAGAGAAGGCACAGAGTGGCTCTGGAGTGGGAGCACACTGAAAATACCAGCACCCTAATGAAATCAAAATTATTGTAAACAATAATTATTTTAATCAAGGTAATATGAAAAGCACAACAGAGATAGTTGGTGAATTGCTTCATAGAAGACATAGACCATCAAAGCTAAAAGTAATTCCTTTGCTGTGGGGTCACAAAAGTAAAAGAGCATAGAGATCACCCAGCCTAAATGCTCTCCCATTCTGTTCACAAGGGAACAGGGTTGCAGAGATCAGTGACATGTACACCTTCACGCAGTCAGTAAGGGAGAGGACCGGGCCTAAAACAAGATCTGCCCAAATCCTCGTCAGTTTTCCATTGGCTGATGTGTTATTTCCCTTATCTAGAGAGATTTCTTTCAGTCAAGAACTCCATCCTAGTGTTTAACTTTCTCCATTTGTACAGTATTTTCAGCAATGGAAACCCCCCCTTTTCCAGATGCCTCTCAAGCAGAACTCGACATGCCAATGGAAAGAGTTGCCCCATCCTCTTGGGAGAAAGCGTCACTCGGAGCACCAGGCACCGCTGGTTCTGAGGGTGCTTTCCCGGAGAACCGTCCTGCCAGGCACCCGAGGTACGGCTGGAGGCAAGCATGCTTTAGGGCAGCTATCACACGCTCTGATTCGCTGATGCAGCACGTGTGCACTAAGCACCTACTAGATGCCGGGCCTTGTGCCCAGCAATAGGGAGAAGCACTACACCAGCTCGGCCCCTGCCCTCAGGGGCCCACGGCCTAGCAGAGGAGATGAGCAGCAAGTGAATGCGTGAGTTGGGGAGTGGCCGGTGCATAGAGTACCTACCTCACCCAGCTTGGCATGCAGGGAGGTTCTGAGCCCTGGGGAGCGTAGAAGGCTACTCTTTCCTCAAGCACCACAGAAGCTCATGGACAGATGTTGCTCTCAGCTTCACGAGTAGCTGGGACTATAGGCACGCACCACCATGTCCGGCTAATTTTTTGTTTCA